AAAGGCACCCAGAACTTGGGACACCTGGCCCAGGGGAGGCTTTAAGGGGGGAGAGCTTTAAGGAAAAGCCTTTCCAATCGTGGTGGTCTCCCAGTTGACGGCCCCAGGGCTCGGCGGCAGAGCGAAGGGTCGTGGCTGAGCATTGGTGGTTGGTGTTTGCTGTCCCTGCGCTTGTCCCCTGGGGAAATGAGCCGGGGACAAATTTCCCCCGGGCATTTCAGATGGGGCTCAAACGTCCCCTGTGCTGTGCGTGTCCTTGCACTTGCGATGGCAATGGTCCTGCCCGGCAAAGCGCTGTGGCTCGGGCGGACGGGCTGTGTGGGAATGGGTCCCAGGTGCCACCGATGTCCCTGCAGCGCGTCAGGGCCAGCGCTGGGGAGGGGACGGGCTGGGAGCCCCTTGGGGAGGGCAGGGGCAGTGGGGACGGTCGCCAGCTCAGCATCCCCTCGCCGCAGGGCTGCCCTGGTTGCGGGGCTCTCAAGGCTGATGGGTTTTCTGCCAGGACACGCTGCCGGAGTCCAGCACACCCCGGTCGGTGGTGCTTCCCCCCCCCGGATTGCCTGATGCCGAGCCGGGTGCTGTGGGGACGGGCTGGGACCCACCTCCGCTATGAGGGCAGCTCATTGAAGCCAGGCAGAGCTCAGTGCTGCTCCCTGGGCTATTTAAACAATTCAGAGAGGGGGCAGGTGATGCCTTGGCCGACTGGCTGCTGAGCGGGTGACTGACCCCCCAAAGTGCAGCTGAGCAGAGTAATTAAGATAATTCTTGGCTGTTTGTCCCCCAACACCATGTCTTTGGAGCTGCGGTTCGTGCCTGGCTGGGGCTCATCACACCAGCACCTTCTCTGAAGGAGCTGGGTCCCCCCCGCAAGCCCCAGCACCCCGGGACAGGGTTATTTAAAGCGCGTTTTTGGCGTGACCCTAATCGGGTTGGACAAGGCGAGGAGCCCAGGGCTGCCCCGGCCGCGTGCGACAGCCCGCACTGGCTTGGAGAAATAATGTGATGTTCGGCTCTGCCTCGTTGTTGTAAGTAAATCAAGTTGCTGTGACATGTTATGGAAAAGCAGCTCCAGCGGTGGCCGTTTCCCCAACTACCCAAGGCCGATTTCTGTGGCTCCTTTGTAATTTTTGCTTTACAGTACATTGAGATTTAATACTTGGAGCGGCTTGAAAGCAAACTGGCCAAAGGCAGGGTGTCGGTAAGATGCAATGACTTGTCTCTGGAGCAATATGAATTAATGTTGCTTTTAGGAGGTGAATACAGCCATACGCAATAGCGGCAACGGGGTGAAAAAAGGAGGTGAATCCAGCCATACGCATGACGCATGAGCGGGTGGTGTAACCCTTCCCTTTCTGTCAGGGAAACTGAGACACGGGGGGGTGGGGGGTGGGCCACCCCCAGGGCTGCCCCCTGCCCCGGCAACGGGGTGGCGTAACCCTTCCCTTTCTGCCGGGGAAACTGAGGCACGGGGTGGGGGTGGGGGGTGGTACCGCAGCCACCCCCAGGGCTGCCCCTGCCCGCAGGGATGCTCTTCCCATCCAGTTCCCAGTCTCCAGCCGTTCCTAACTGGGCCAACTGGCTTTTGTTCTGTGTCAGGCTGGCGGCCAAGGTGGCCCGTCAGCTTTCTGCTCGGTATTTCTGTCCCCCTTAAAGATGCTGCGGCCAGAAAAAAAATGAGCTGGGCAAGGGAAAAAAAAAAAGCAAAAAAAAAAAGCTGGGTTAGACATCTCCCCTGCTCCAGTTCAGTCACGTTCACTCAGGGTTAGGCAGCAGCTGCCGAGCAGAAACCCTCACCTGAGCTCACCTTAAATTCAGTAGCTCAAAGGGAGGTTTTATATCAAGCGATGATGCTCGATATAAGCAAGAGAACTTGGACTCTGGGGCTCCCTTATGTCCCTTTCTGGGGGCTTTGGTCCTGCATGCGGCCCCGCTGGGAGCTGTTTTAAAGCCTCTGAAGCCGCCAGGAGCACAGGAAAACTCAGCCGGTGGCAGCGGCAGAGCCCGGCACGGGGCCGGGGAGAGCTCTGGCGGTGGCGGCACACGAGGCGACAGGTCTGGCTTAGGTTGGAAAAAGCAAATTGCCACGAAGCCAGGCTGGGGAGAGAGACCCGGAGGAGGGCGAGGATAAGAAAAAAGGCTTCAGGGCCAGGGAGACAGTTTTGTTTGAAAATTTATTGAAAAATGCAATACAAGAAGCAATACTGAACACTTACGGCTGTCTAAATGCTACGGCAACTTTCCCTTTGATTTACTATGAAAGTCCAAATTAACAGCTCCCATCACTAGTCAGTCTATAAAGATTTGCAAATTTTAAAAGTTCCTATTTATTTTTATAAAGAAGAGTGTAAACAGCTAGCCTAGACAATTCACAATTGCCTTAAAAAAAATTTTACAAAGCTCCTTCATTTTTTTTTTTTTTTTTTTTTTTTT